CTGTAAACGCCCCTGCCGAGCAAATTGCCAACATTGAAAAACGAACCCCCCCCCCAATAGAAAGCTGGCTACGGGCCTGTAGAGACCGAGGGTGTTTCTTATTTAAAAGCAGAGGGATTGCAATATCTTATAAACGACATATAGTTTCAGTTATAATATGGATAAATTTGTCCTAAAATGAATATCATTCGGTTAATATATAGCATTTAGGTATAAATATAATTGCACTTTTATGATTAGCTCTCGGTCTGTAAGGCCTAACGTGAAAAAGAAATTGGCTAATGCGCAACTTTTTCAGGGTGGCAGCACGATCTCGGGTGTCATGTCAGCGCCCATAAATGAAGATTTCGAAATTCAATGTTGTTTTATGACAAACGTGACTGCGTAATTATAGATATTTATATGTATGTGCTATTATTTATAAATCTACTATCATAATATACTCTCAAATTATAGAGTAAAATATTCCTTTAAGTTACCAGCAAAAACATTGTACCTAACCACCGCATCACTGAGCATTTAGCTGCAAGCTCAAACATGCCCGACCCCGACGGTCGCCACTAAACCTTTTTTAAACATATGTTTCTCATCCAAGCGAGATCCCGCATTTTAGGCTTTCTCTCCTTCGCTCCTCGCGAGGAGGCATTGTCACGTACCTAGTGCAGGCACACGCTTAGCTCTATATGTGTATCCCTCCGCCGCGCGATACAGAGTTATCAATAATGCATAGTTCCGAAGAGATTGATCAGTCGTACGTAGCCAGCAGGTGTGTGTAATGCATGATCAGTAGAAACTCGCCGTTAATCAGTGTCCAAGTACTCTTCACTAGTGCAACACGCAGACCGAGTTAATGCATCCATCCCACCACCGTAACCCCTCTTGCTCCGAGCTACACAATTCCAACAACAACCGGTAGCTACTTCGAAAAAATAACATTAATCCGTTTAACCTTGGGAACAGCCAGCGGATCCCGGTCACAGGCCGGCTGCAGTGCAGAAGCATATACTGGCGCTACTGATGTATGTCAGAAGCATTTACCCGCAATACCGACGTATGTCAGAGACAGTCAGACGCATATACTGGCGATACCGACGTAGTTCAAAAGCATATAGGGCCCCTACTGGCGCTGCCAATGTACGTCAGAAGCATATACTGGCGCTACCAATGTACGCCAGAAGCATATAATGGCGCTACCAGTGAACGTCAGCAGCATATACTGGCGCTACCAGTGAATGTCAGCAGCATATACTGGCGCTACCAGTGAACGACAGAAGCATATACTGGCGCTACCAGTGAATGTCAGAAGCATATACTGGCGCTACGTACTGATGTACGTCAGAAGCATATACTGGCGCTTACCAAGGAACGTCAGAAGTATATACTGCCGCTGCCAATGTACGTCAGAAGCATATACTGACGCTACCAATGTACGTCAGAAGCATATACTGGCGCTACCAGTGAACGTCAGAAGCATATACTGGCGCTACCAATGTACGTCAGAAGCATATACTGTTGATGTACGTCAGAAGCATATACTGCCGCTTACCAATGAACGTCAAAAGCATATACTGACGTTACCAATGTACGTCAGAAGCATATACTGGCGCTGCCAATGTACGTCAGAAGCATATACTGGCGCTACCAATGAACGTCAGAAGCATATACTGTATGGCGCTACTGGTGTATGTCAGAAGCATATACTGGCGCTACTGATGTATGTCAGAAGCATATATACTGGCGCTACTGATGTATGTCAGAAGCATATATGAAATGGTGGTCGGATGATCGTATCGTATAATTGTTCTTGCTTAGTCTTGCGTTGTGTTACTATTTCTTGACCGCAGGTTCTTTGCCGTGCTTAGCTAAACAGCTATATTGAGGAAAAGTCACGTACAGAATAAAACTTGGAAGCGTTGAAGTGATGTTGACGTATTAAGATTTTACTTCACACATATGATATATATAAACATATGCTCGAGGCTGGTGTAATGATCGGGTTTGTGCATATAATATTGTGTACTCTCTCTCTCTCTCTCTCTATATATATATATATATACTCTCGTGTGTGTGTGTGTGTGTGTGTGTGTGTGGCTGTGTCGTGGCTCGTGACGTATAATGTATACCATGCGATGTTCTAACCCAAAAGGTCCTGCTTGGCGCGGGCACCCTTGTGAGGTACCCTGAGGTAATAACAAAGTAGACAGACACGAAATGTACGTACAACAATATATCTATTTAATTCTTACACGGTAGGCAGGCAAATATTTTTTTTGTATTCTAGCAATACTTGTTTTATACTTATAACAGCTCACATAATGACTTCAAAGTCTCACGAGATTCAACCCAGAAGGTACAGAAACAAGAAAGTCAGACTCAAGGATATATATCATTAATTAGTTATATATATAAACCAGTCCAGCATATACACATCTGACATTCAACCCTTTTCCGTATGGCCGAGCCACAACTGCAACCAGTCCAGCACCAGTACATTTGTTGCAAATTGTTCCAGATAATTATTTCAGTTGCAATTCCCTGTTCACATCGAACGGTTGCGAATCTGGCGATGTCCGACATCTCACATTTACTTTACTCGTATCCGTTTGTTCAGGGTGTATGAGAACAAAAATGTTCTCAATTTTTAGTTTACTATCGATTGTCCTAACTTGTTTTCACTTGATGCCGTGTACACATGCAGGCGTCCAGTGGCGGCACCAGGATTGTAAAAGTGGGGGAGGGGCAAGCTGAGGGCAAGGGAAAATGTTGGGGGGCAAAATGTTGTGATCGTGTCGCGCCACCTCGAGCGTGTAGTGCAAGAACTAATAGGTGGGGTTCAAGGGCCGGCTCTACAGCCCCTGGTGTGGTCCAGGGGCCGGCCCTACGCTACATTAGCTCTGAGCTTTTAGCATTTTTGAGGTGAAAAACCGAGCCTCTGTGTGCCTTAAACAGATAAATAAACACGATTGTAGAGCACTTCTGATCCATATATCCAAACTTCTAATTTTACTGTAGTGCGCTAGTGTTGTAAATATAGGCCATCCACGGAAATTGCTCTTTCGCGGAAAAATAAAAGGGAAAATTCGTAGTGGCGGAAATGGAATAAGAAAGCGAAAATTTTCCGCCAAAATCGCAAAGGGTTGGGAAGTCCGCCACTCAATAAGAATTCATATTACATAGACTAGGGTTAAAACTCAAAGATTGAAAGGCAACATTATGGGCCTATGGAGTAAAATTTATATTGTCATTGCTCATGTGAACTGTGTCCTTAAATTAAAACCTTTGTGCAGGAGCTGACTGGGGGGGGCAACTGGGGGCAAAGGCTTTGACTGGGGGGCTAATGCCCCCACGCCCCCCTTGGTGCCGCCACTGCACGCATCCAAATACAACGCAACCACTACAGAGGTCGCCATTGTTGTTCTTGTTGTGCTTTTATAATCGAGCACCCTATCGTTTTCACGGGAATTTCTACCGGAAGCGGTGCGTAATGAATCAATGCATTCACCAATCGATATGACGTTGGGATTAAAATTTTTTTTTTGGCAGACCACAATAAGTTTACACTCGGCGGTTTAAAATGAACTCGTTCGGGTTACCAGAAACAAACGTCTTTTTTAGGCCTAAGCATGGAGGCTGCCATAAAATAAATTCAGAGGGGGCGTGATACTAAAACGTAGTAAGAACGACGTATTACTATTAGAAAGCAGTGGACGTGTCAGCAGTGTCACATGAACATTCACGGAAAGGCGCAATATAGTTCAATGAATAAATATATTAACGATTGCATCTAATAATAATATATACTGAGTACACCATATGTCATGTAGCGCACCTGAAAAGTAGCTAGCTACGAGAAGAGTGACTGCCCTCAGGAGCGTGTGCGGTAACGTGGTGTATTAATGCGTGGCCTGCTTGCATTTTGCAGGATGTTCTTACGCAACAAGCAGTTCCTTTGACTGTTGACTGCATAATTGAAATTGTGTGTTATCTTTATGCCCTTTTTACTTAGTAGATATACGATATGTGGTTAACACTTTTGTTTATAATAACAGTATATAAGTATGCTAATAACGTTAATCTCAGTTAGATCTATAATCAGTACAAAATAACTTACTCTGACGAAATTTTCGTCCATCTCTCCGACAGACTTCCTCAGGTCTAACGTTTCCAGGTAGATGGCAGCACTGGAAACGGAAGTTCAATCCTGGTCATTTTCGGGCGGCTTCCAGCCTGCGGTCCCCTCGAGTGGGTGCAGATCTGAGAATGTTGTCGTAAATGTGGGATAGATGGTATGACCCCTCAGCTCTATTCATTGTAGTCGGTTCCCTGTGGATGTAAATTGCTTCTCTGATTTATCTGTGACTCGGAATTGATTCCTTTGACACGACAGTGGCCTCTTTCCAGTCCGGCAGATGGTTTTGATCGACAATATGGTATGTTATGGCTGACTTATGCTGTTGTCCTGAAGTGGACGCACGAGCCGCTCGTGTGCTGGTTCCTTTTGTGTGAGTATTGACATCAGTCATATGTTCTTTTAAACGTGTGCCAAATTTTCTGCCTGTTTCCCCAATGTACGCGCTGTCACAGTTCGAGCAGGCGATACGGTATACACATCCTGTAGTATTTATGTTTTCAATTTTATCCTTTGGATGAACTAAGATGTTCCTGATGGTCTTGTGGGGTTTGAAAGCTGAAGAGATGTTGAATGTCCTTAAGGTGCGGGCTAACCTCTCGGACATGCCCTTGATGTAAGGAATGATAACCAACCCCCTATTTTTCGTTTTCAAGTTGTTCCCCTTCTTTTTCAATTTGTTGTTGGTAACTTTTATTCCTATTTTCCGTTTTGTGTCTTCAATTGTCCAGTTTGGGTAGCCGCAATTTCGAAGTGCGTGTCGAATCTCAAGTTCCTCGGCGCGTAAATCTTCCGGTTCCGTTACAACGGTGTTCGCTCTATCAAGTAGTGTGCGGACGACTCCCAGTTTGTGAATTATCGGGTGGTGAGACTAAAAGTTCAGATATTGATTGGTATGGGTCTTCTTCTTGTAGACCACGGTTTTAATCGTACCATCTTCTCTGCTCACAATCTTCGTGTCTAGGAAAGGAATGCTGTTGTTTTCCATTTCTTCAGAGGTGAATTGTATGTTGCCGGACGTATCTATTGAGTTGAGATGATTATTGAGGATGCGTGTGGATCCCTTGGTAACCTCCGCTAGCATGTCATCTACATAGCGTTTCCAAAATCTGGGTTTGATATGTTCAGACGCTGTATTGATGGCTGTCTGTTCTAAATCTTCCATGTATAAGTTGGCAACGATTGGAGATATGGGGCTACCCATCGCCGTGCCAAACTTCTGTTGATATAACTGTCCGCCAAACATGAAATAGGTGGTGGTGAGCACGAATTCCAGCAACTCCATTATGTCGTCTACTGTGAGTAGCGTTCTCTTCTTCAAAGTGGTATCATCTTCTATTTTCTTCCGTATCACTTCGAGGGCTTTGCTAATCGGTGTGTTAGCGAATTCCAGTGCTGCCATCTACCTGGAAACGTTCGACCTAAAGAAGTCTGTCAGAGAGATGGACCAAAATTTCGTCAGAGTAAGTTATTTTGTACTGATTATGAATCTAACTGAGATTAACGTTATTAGCATGTAAATTATAGAGATCCGATGAAGTTATTTAATCAGTATATAAGTAAACGTTTGTGTATAGTTCGGAATTCATGTGTATCCCTCTGCCAACCGGATAGGATCTACTTCCTCTTTTGTTTGCTACGGCAACGCGGGAAGAGCAAATAGAGATATTCTCCTCATTTATTGGACTTAGAGATATTCCCAAGTTACTCAGAGACCCAACGAGTTTCACGGCATTGTACGATGACGGATATGATGAAAACTATGTAATAAACTGATTCAAACAAAATCTGTATGATTCTCGACCAATGTATAGGTAACCTCGGGACAGCTACAGTGATACTCGAATGGTTTCAAGAGTGAAACTCTATAACTTCTCGAGTTGAAGAGAGAGGAGATACCTGCATCAGCTCCACTCATCGGCCAATATACTTCGTGCGGCGAGCATCAGAGACAGAGTGCAAGTTGAACGATGAATTTACCCAGTTCTCTGCTTCAAGAGACAACAGTGCTGAATAGCAATAGACTACGACTCGTCAACATAGGACAGCACTGCATGCAAACAGCGAATAGCGTGACCTACTGTCAACCGACGACACATCCTGACAATGTGTCAACCAAGGTTACCAGAGGTCACCAGCGGTCTTCACGTTGACAGGCGACGACACTTCGGCTGACGACGACTTCGCAAATACATCCAAAAAAGTTGTTATTAAGACAATAACATTTACCTTGCTGTGTTTTCTATCCAGCAACCATAACCAACCAAAGCTGAACGTCGCCAACGGACTCATTTGACTGGACACCGATTGCATTAGATGTTGCATGCATTTCGTGTGATGTGTAGACATGGCGATAGAGATTTTAGATTATAGACATTTGCAGTTTAGCTCTTATTGACATTTTGCACTTGCCTGTGTGAGATGTAGTACTGTTGTGTTGCAGTTTTTATCAACATTTCAGGTTGAAAGTAGGTTGTTTGTAAATTGGGTTGCCACTTTATTGCAAGTGTCTATCACTGTATGTTTGTAATGTCTATGTATGTCTACCACTTTAACATCATTGTCTCTAAATAAGCGGTTGGGTTATAATAAAACTGCGCTACATTGATGGACAATGTAGCGAAGTAACTCGGAACCAAAGTGAGAGAGATCTTGATACTCCCATGCAATGGCGACTCGAGATAAAGTTTCGACGGAAACGTTGAATGATGGTTCTCAAACTGGTAATCAAACAGATGCCGAACAGAATGCCACTGAACAGACGGCATGTGAACCTAAGAGCGAAGCACGTGGCAAAGCATCTCAGATGCTCGTCAAATCAAGGTCAGAGCAGAGAGCGCCTACAGAGATGTCAGGACAAGCCTCAATAATACAACGTGTACCTACAGATCAGGTCATAGACAATATGGAAGCCGACATTCAGAGATTCTGGTACCAATACAAAGACTGCATGTCCACTGTACTCACAGCAGAGAGAGATATCGCAGCGAGATGCTCAAAATCCTTCCTTGAGGACATGGTTTATGGTCTTGAGCAGAAACTTGAACAGATGAGTGAAGCGTATAACACGTTGCTCAACACTATCTTGAACATTGTGGAGGTGCGTCAGTGTGCAGATAGAGTTACCTCTCGTATAGAGGGCTCCGCAAATTTCCAAATTACCCACAATGCAACGCCGCCGGCCATGTTGGTAGTCAGAACTAGTTCTGGCATTGTACAAGTACATGCATTGACCAACGCACCTATGCTCATTTCATTCGCCTATTAAGCAAATCTCTCGCAATGCCAATCTCCTGCAGTGTTGTCAATTGCAGCAATCGGCATCAGAGAGAGTCACACAGCTTTTTTAGGCTGCCTAGCGTGATCACAACACAAGGTAAAGTGACGAGAGCGCAGGCGGACCACAGACGCTTTGAGCATTTTCAATAAAAAAGCAATGCTTTACAACACGAAAGTATTTACTACCAATGTCTTAATGTTTCTCTACGCTCTTTCGCCTAGTAATGCCGATAATTACCTGTAAATGCCGGTCAAATGCTGCTCTGCAACACGCCGCTACACATTTACACTTATTTACATATATCGCCGGCATCCAGTAGGCAGCTGTTTGAGTGCGTGGTGATTTCTCTTGCACGTGCAGCATACTCTACATAAAATAGCACCGAGGCAACATGTGAACAGAATTCACCAAGCCCGGCTTTACAATTACATTGTGCTGACATGATGCCTGTCCCATATTCTCTCATCGTGATCGACCCATGCACGGATAGAGAGATAGTATAATCAGAGACGGGGAGAGCATAACACATGTTCGGATAACGTAAATGGGACTCTCACTGTTCACATGATAGATGTAGACTGATACACCACTACCCCAACCGCAGAACAGTCAATCGTAGGCATCCAGGCTTTTGTGGTTCTGAAAGTCATTGAGAGTATAAAATGGACTCGGCTAGAATGTTAGGCAGTCAATTCACGAGATCCAAATAAGTACGTGCATGATGGGCACAAGTTGTGGTCCTCGCTCCATTCTCGTATGGGTGTCGATTCTCAATGCACGCAAGTTTATCGAGATAGCGTGCTTTGGCTACATTGTCTAGTGAATCAAAGTACTTGTCCATACTACGTACAATTCAGACAGTTGGCAAATGAGCATACACCAGATGTTATAAAAAGCTGCGTTTGATAGCTATATATATGCAGTAAAATCGGTGAAATTTCTGAACACTCGCGATGTCAACTCGACAAACTCGAGTCCCCGAACATTATCTGTTGCGTGCAATCTCCCGACGCTAATAAACCTACATCAAGAGCTAATAATACCTAGAGTGTACAACGGAAAAGCGGGAAAAAAGTGCTATTTCACGACAACATTATTCTTCTTTGCCTGTGAGTCTAGAATAATTTTATGGTATTGCATTAAAGGGATAGTAGACTCTAGGACGTCTATACCCACACGTATTTGTTACCAGATACCTAATTTAATTGTTATAATTAATTACACATCAACGCTACGAAATTTGAATGGCGCCATGACACCCGCGACCGTGCTGCCACCCCGAAAAAGTTGCGTATTTGTCAATTTGACAATTTATTTTGCACGTTACAGACCGAGGGTTAATCACAAAAGTGCAATTATATTTATACCTAAATGCTATTTAACCGAACGATATTCATTTTAGGGCAAATTTATCCAAATTATAACTGAAACTATATGTCGTTTATAAGATATTACAATCCTTTTGCTTTTAAATTAAATAAGAAACACCCTCGGTCTGTAGCCCTTTTGGGTTTTGCGCAACTTATCAGATCGTGCGCTTTGAGTGGCGCCACCGTCGTTGTAATCAAACTGCAGTCGTTAGTTTTAAAACATTTTTTAATAATATTTCTAATGGCGATTGAACCATGACTTTTTATGTAGCGTAATTTTAACCTAAATTAACTGAAAATATACCTAGAACCTAGAGTAAACAATCCCTTTAAGCAGAATTCTTTGCTCTCTAAAACAAGACCAACCGCTTGTCAATACGATACTCCTAGGCTATTGGAGATATTGGCCTGAGATATTGGCTCGTAAACTTCCCCTCCCACAGGCCTCTTGGCGCCTCCAATCCATTATCTCTTACATAAAGGGCGAGTCTGTTTTTGTGTCTGTCCTTCTGTCTATCTTCTCCCCCCCCCGTAAGAGCTCACCCCCAACACCATATATATTCTTAATCAGCATGTCGCGACGACCATTTATAAGGCTAAAAAAAAATACACAAAATAACAAAGTCTAAAATTAAAATTTTAAAATTACAATTAAAATTATTTATTATTTTAATAAATGTCCGCGCGGTGGCGCTATATACCCTCCTACTGCATCGAGTGCGCGTTTTCGCTGTATTGTAGCGGTATTTTGTAGCTCTATTGTCGAATTACAGCGACAATAAACGAATTATTACCTTCGAAGGAGACACGAAAGCGTCATAGACGACTACCATATAGGTATAAATGCTTAACTTGCTGCTTATTTTCGTATTTTCGAGTGTTTCGTATTCATCTCCTACAATAAATCGCCGGATCTATCTGATTCTGTCTGTCTGTCTTCTCGAGACCAGTAAGAGGTGACTCGTGAGGTATATTCTCAATCAGCATGACGCGACGACCATTTTAGGCCAAAAACAATTTGCACAAAAAGGCCAAAATAAGGGCAAAAAAAACAAACAACAGATTTCCCCCAAAAAAATACTAGCGCAGCAGAAAAGTTAAGAATGACAGCAATCCTAGCGCTCGACTATACACTGCAGCAGAAAAGTCGAGACGAATCCTAGCGCAGCAGAAAAATAATAATAGAATAATAATAGAATCGGGGGCGAGTCTGTATTTGTGTCTGTCCTTCTGTCTATCTTCTCCCCCCCCCATAAGAGGTCACCCCCAACACCATGGCATATATATTCTTAATCAGCATGTCGCGACGACCATTTATAAGGCCCCCCACCAAAAAAAAATACACAAAATTAAAGTTTAAAATTAAAATTAAAATTATTTATTATTTTAATAAATGTCCGCGCGGTGGCGCTATATACCCTCCTACTCCTGCAGCAGAAAAGTTAACAATAACAGCAATCCTAGCGCTCGACTATACACTGCAGCAGAAAAGTCGAGACGAATCCTAGCGCAGCAGAAAAGTAAACAGCAATCCTATAGCGCTCAACTATAGTCAGGCTCAAAATCAGGCAATCGCATGAAATGCCGAAACGCAAGCAATAGCAGAAAACGCATGAAATAGCAGAAAAGCAGTAACACCCAAAAAATCCCCAGCTAGTATTCACTATAGGCGCGTTCAAACGGACGTTTTTAGCCCGAGCCTAATTGGGCCCACGCCAAATTTAGCTCGAGCCGAGCGTTCACACGGTTGGT